ATGGAGACTCTCTTAGGCATGTTGTCAAAGACCCTTGGCCTCCACACACTCCTCTTTATTCGTTGAACGACAAAAGCAATGATGAGTCATTGAGTTCGGCTTGAGCAATTTTAGTAGAGTTGTCAAGGTTACCTTCGGTTGCCAATAAATAGGAAAATTACTTAAAATTAGGGCTACAAATGGATCAAATCAGATCCAATACAGGTATATCCAAATTTGAATTGCCATTGGATATTGAATAGTGTTAATAAATCAAATTAAAGATGATCAAAATACCATATATTATTAATAAAATGAACTAAAAATGACCTTCATATCGTATTTCATAAACAAAATGATTAAGAAATAACAGGTAAGAAATCTGAACCTATGGCAGTTTAGTAAAAACACAACAGTCATACTAATTTTACAAAAAAACTACAATATAAATTTTATCCAATATTTTAAAAACTGACCTAGAGGATGAACCATTTTTGCCTCCAGGTTGTGGGTCATTGGTTTATCTGTTTGGATCAAATGGGTTAGACTGTGCCACATCAACACACTATCTACATGTAATACATGCATTAATTTAAATTTAGTTCAGTTATAAATTTTTTATTAGTAAAAAAAATGCTAAAAATTGTAATTTGAAGAATAAAAAAAGTTTTTTTTTGGCAAAAATAATGGGGCAAGGAATCTTTGGATCCTTGGGATGCATAGATCACAAAAAGTGATCCAAAATATTTTTTTTTTTAAAAAAGACCATTCCAATCAGATATCCAAACATAAAGTTATGGCCTCCAAAAATTTATGGGTTCAACCATGATGTCGAAAAGAGTCAAAAGGCAATACTAAAACAAACTTATAACCAATCAATCAACTAGTATCATCAGGTTGGTGTTTTACCAATGTTTTAAAAACTGACTCGCAGGCCGAACTATTTTTGTCTCCGGGTCGTGGGTCATTGATTTTACCGTCTGAGTCAAATGGGTCAAACTGTCCCCCATGTATTTAAGGTATATTTATATACATGCATACATATATGTGTGTGTATAAATATATATTTTATCAATAAATACTTTATAATTATGTTTTATATATGTTATATATATTTATATTTAATTTATGTTTTTTAATTTAGTTTCTTATTTTTTATTTATAAAAATATTAAAAATTACAATTTGACCCATAAAAGGGGGTTTTCACAAAAATATCTATAGTGCCTTCAAATGCATAGATCTCGAAAAGTTACCCAAAATCAAATAAAAAATCACTTCAATCGGACATGAGAGTGCAAAGTTATGGCCTTTGAAAGTTTACATGCATTGAATGTACAATCCGCGACTCAGTGACCAGGTCTAACGGGTCAACAGTTGAACTAATCGGGTTGGATGGTTCTTAACCAAATCAACAATTTTTAACCACCTGACAGATTTTAACTAAACCAAACCCAAAATCCTGGCCAAATAACAATTCAAGTAATTCAACCAACAAAATCAACAACAGATTGAAAAAGCGTGTTAACATAGGCAGAATGGCCCGACTTTAATGAACCAAGATCCTGTGTCGGCAAAAAGCGTGTTAACACACCGATAGCACAGTATGTCAGCATTTTACTGTGCATTGAGAACATTTCACCATATCCTGACTCAATTTTATGCCATTTCCCCCTTTGTCACTTTGTCAGTCTATTTCATCCATATCAGTACATGGGTGACTATTGCTCAGCAATACCAATTGATATAGCATATTGTTATCGAATCTTATATTTTAATTGTGTTCATTAATTTCCATTTAATACATTAAATTCAACTATTTATGACTTCTAAATTTCCAACCTTAAGTCCCACTATTCAAGCCTCATTAATTCTGAATTTCTTATATTTCAAATTCCACCAGTGTGGGGTTTTAAATCTTGCCCTTTAAATTTTCCTTTTTGAAAAATGGCCGGAGGTAATTTTATTCAATTTCAAACTCAGTTACAGCTAAGTCAAAACAATTTGCTCTACAAATGAAGGATGAAGGAATAACAGACCATGTGATCGTCCAAGTACAAGAAAGAATATATTGAGCAATTGAATGCGCATCACAAACAATTAGCTTCTCTAGGAACATAAGAAAAGTAAAAAAGAAAACTCATGCAGCAAATTTCTGCAATTGGTCCTTCAATATCTCTCATTAAACAAAAAAAAATACCATTAAAAAAAATCTGAATTTAGTGTGATCAATTAAGCAATCAATGAAGTTTATAATGATTTCAGAAGCATGGTTACTATGCATGTTTAACTTTTTCCACCATTATTTTACTTTGCGAAGTGTATCCCGGTGGTTCACTCTTCACATTAAAAAATATTTCTCTTGTTTATACATCTAAGCATTGGTTATATGTTTTGATGTATTTTTGAGATTTATATGATTATGAGTTCCAATTATCGGTGATGAAGGTCAAAAAGCGTCGATTCCTTGGTGGCAGTGACAGCCCAGAGATCGGAAAGTGAAGTCGGTTACTGTAAGACAAACAATGTCATAGGGCCTAGGGCTAGGGGATAACCCAGATAAGGGATTTCAACGGTCAAGTAAATACCGAGCTAGTGAGGTGGAAGAGAGCAAATGAATAGGAAATCAGACTAGAGAGTATGTATGCCAATAAGTGAGTATACCTTCTGGTCACCCTTATTATAAACCTTGAGGCTCGGCTGTAGCGTGTTTTACAAGTTTGGGATGGTGATGTTCATCTACCCGTTGTTTGCAAAATATGCCCGCACAATGCTATGGTCGCCCTTACCTTGTTCCTGCGAAGCGAAGGGAATCAGGTTTGTCGCTGCTAGGTGTCAAGAGCGCCAACTGGCATGAATGGAAAAGGAGAGACATGCCACATAGGTCAGAGGCATGATGAGGTCAGCGTGGTCCCACAAATCGCAAATTGCCCAAGATGGTCCCACAAATCGCAAATTGCCCAAGATGGGGAGGTAGGTTGGTGGGAGCAATCGTAGTGGACATTTGCCTTGAGCCTGTAAATCTACCAATTTGCCCTTAAGTGAGGTCGAAATTCATTTGGACCATATAAACAATATACTGAAAAACATTCAAGGGAGACCATGCCACATGTGATGCCTAGGTGTCATAAAACGATTTCAATCACCACGTAGAGCGTAATTGAAGGTTGATTACAAAAAAGGAAACCCTCTATAGTTTCACATTCTAACTAACATAGATTATTAAGTGCATCTTTGATTTCACCTTAAATAAGTACTTTCTTTACAAGTATTTAATAAAAGTGTTGGGACCACACATTAAGTGGAAAATAAGCATTTGTTGTGTTCGATAAAAAAGTATCGAAAAAGTATTTATTTGATAAATAAGTATTTATTAAAAAAAATTACTTGAGAGTTGTTTTTTTTTTAAGTACTTGTTAATAAGTGGATCTGCAAAAAATTTGGGATTAAAAAGTCCCTATTTATATTTTAAATACCCAAAATACCCTCATCTCTCCTTAAACCCCTTTCTTCCTCACTCAAACTGGGTCGAGCATGCCAGCAACCACACCTTCTTTGGGAGCGAACGGCAACCGACACCTGCCTTTGGACTTGTATATATGTATGAATGAAATGATGGTTAAAATTATCATTTGTGTCAATATAAACACTTATAGGAAAGTAGTTTACCAAATATCCCCACTCCAATAAATGTTCAAAAACATAATAAGTGATTTGACAAATGGACCATCAAATAGCCTTAAATGATTGTTAAAATAAATACTTATGCAATAATAAATGCTTTTTTTATCAATCACTTAATCATCAAATAGGGTTTAAAACAATCCCTATCGTCCAACTCATCATTTTTTTCTTAGATGGGAGATGACAGTTGACCCTAATGATCCCTCAACTAAATTAATCAAAAAGAAAATAAGAAAACAAAAATGATGATTTTGCTGCACGGTTTTATTTCGAAAAGGTTGACATGAAATTTGCTACGAGTATTTTTTTTAAAATAGAAAACCATGGGTTCATGACCTTCCACATTTTCCATTGGTTTTATGAAGTCACATGACCATTGCAAACACCTCATAGCAGAACGCTGATTCAGTAAAGTGGTTGCAAAATAAGGTTAATATGAAACTATAAGCGGTTGTCTACTTAATCCTGTTTCACCCAATCTTTTAAAGAACCGTTTTTGTCTCAAGGTCCGAAGTCAACATTTCAACTGTCCAGGTCATCCAAGTCAAACTGTGATATACATTTTACATATAATATATATTATTTTATATTTAATTTAATAATTTATTTTAAGTTTTAATTTTTATAAATATAACAAAGCTAAAAATTGACTTCATTTCAAATGTTCCTTTTAGTTTTTCCACAATTCATCTTGGCATGCACACTTCTACTGTACTAACTTTATGGAAATCTTGTTTTTTTGATTTCCCAACACTGCCAAGTCCCGAACGGATTAATTGGGACAAAATCACAGACCCAAAACTGTCCCAATTAATAGTCGAGTCTATCGGGTCCAAATCCGATTATACTAAACAATATAATTGTTTATTTAAATAATAATTTAAAGTTTAAATTTTGATGATATAACCTTAATTAAAATGATAAAAAAATATGAAATTATTTTTATGTTAATAAATTAAACATTTTTAACCAATATGATCTTATTTATCTATTAAAATGTACCATTTCAAATATAAAATATGATACAAATTTATAAGAAAATAAAAAATATTATATATATATATATAAAATAATCACTTCCAGCTCTTAATCAGTTCAGGATGGACACGCAAGAACCGGAATCAACTCAACTATTAATTGGAACAAAATCATGGAACCAGTACCACTATAATAGGTTTAGGTCCATCGGATAGGCCTGGCTAGGGGTGCCAATGGACCAGATTCGGGTTGGACCCCGTCCAAATCGCATTTAGATTGAACGGTCCATACTTTTGCCTCGGATTGGACTGGTCCGCATAATTTTGGTCCTAAGTAATTGGTGGACCGAAATGGACGAGGCCGATTTGTTCACAAACCGTCTGAGGATCGAGTTTATTTCGGACTCCACCTCTCCAATTCTCCAACCAACCTATTGACTTATGGTTTCTCCAAGCGAACTCCATCTCTCCAAATTTCCAATGGTTTTTTCTTATGATTTTCTCAATCAGCGACGTGTACTGGACCTAGGGTTTTTCCAATGGTTCTCTCTCCAACCTACTGAGGATCGATTTCCATCGGTTTGCTTGAGCTGCGTGTACAACATTTCTCACCAGCATCTGTTTCTCACTGGCGTCTATCTCTCTCTGAGTCTCTGGCGTCTATCAATCGTTGAAATAGATATATACCGCCCCTTAGTTGGTTTCCTTGAGTTCTAGCCATCATTTTTTTTCTGAGCTTCGTGCATAGACTTTCACGGAAGTTCTCTTTCGAGCCTCCTTTGCAACTCCATTTTCTTCAACGAGCTCCAAATGTGTTCATAGGGAGAGAGTTCTCAATAATCATATTTTTTATCTGATATTCGGAAGTGGGATTTCTTTGTTATGTTCATTTTCTCCCCAAGAGTTCTCTATCGTTGATAGGGGCAGAAGAACTTTTTGAGTTCCTGAATCTTCAGCCGGAAAGCCAATTGAATGTTGAACAAAGTAAGGATGTTATAATTCCTTTTTTCTTTTTGTTAAAAGCCCTAATTTATCTTAGACTTGAGCTATTTCTTCATTTCTTTTTCTTTTTATGGGCATGAGAGAATGAGAAAGATTATATATTATTTTATCATTAGCCGCTGATAAAGAAAATTTTATGTTTGGTTTTATAATGAACCAGATCCAGTAAGAGATGAAATTACTATATTTTTAACCATTCCAAACTTGTCTTAGATGGCATGCAAATTTCCATTTCATTTACAAGGAACCAATTTCTCCTTTCCTTATTTGTCTTCTCCTCAGCCCCACCCTCCCTTTTCCACTTTCGTCTGTTTATCTTCTTTCTCCCATGATTTTCTATAGGCACAACTGCAAATGAAACTGGCATATCATGTCTTGAGGGATGATATGTGAACAGAGGGAAGTGGACAGAATAACCATCTATCAATAATGGAGAAAGGAATTAAAAGAAAAATAGGAAACTTGTCTACTAGGTACTAGCCATGTTGTTTTCCATTGCATTAATTTGAAACCACAAGTTATACCGCATAAAACAAAATCATGTATGAGAAAATCATAACTTCTCAGAAAACCCCATTTTTCTTTGATGTTGTATCTTTAAGCCAGGTAGCGTCAATTTTATATATTTGTGAAAATGTTAATATATTTCTGCATTTTTTTTATATTTTTCGTGTTTTATGTAAATTTTAAAGTTTTATTTAATTTGGACCGGATTGTGTCCAATCCGATCCATTTGCATTTCATTTGGACCGGATTGGATCCGATTTGTATGGGATTTGGACCAGATTTAGTCCGGTCCATTTTTAAATTGACCAATGATGGACTGAATCGGATTGGACCAAATCTAGTCCAATTAACACTCCTAAGCCTGGCCAACTGACATCCCTAATTATACCCCATCCTTTTGTCCACCCTACTCTTATTCTATGAGCAGGTTCCTCCTCCGATCCTCTCTTGTCATAAATTATTGAATCAAGGTAAGAAAAAAAACTCACATTGAGTTATCTTTTAGTCTCCAATCCAAATTGTACCCTAATTTATACAGCCATTGTTACTGAATTTGCATGCAAGATTCTTTTTTAGTATTACTTACTTTAAAGTTTAAACCTCTTGTTTGTAACGCATTTGTTCATAGGGCTTAGTTTGAAAAATTTTCCATTAAGGCTGCGTTTGGTTGGAGTATAAATATGAACAGTTGCAAATTTGTACTCTGATTCAGATTTGCATCCGTTTGGTAAGATTTTAAAATATATGCCTATTTTCGATGCAAAAATGTGCATAGACCAAGATTTGCATCGAAAATAGGTGAAAATATTGCTTTATAAAAAAGGAAGAAAAATTTGCCACAATTTTGGTCGAAGTAAATAAGCAGGTTTCGACTGTTTTCTCTTTGAGCGTCCGATAGAGAAGAGAAAGGTTCTGCGTCTGCGATAGAGGTATAGATCTGAACTCCAAATCCATCTTCGAGCGTTCGATAGAGAAGAGAAAGGTTCTGCGTCTGCAACAGAGGTATCGATCTGAACTCCAAATCCATCCATCTGCCGAGGTAATGAGAGATCTAAACTCTCATTTCAGTTTTCTTTTCGTTTTTATGTCACTTCCCTCGTCGGAAGAGAGATCTAAACTCCAAATCCATCGATTTGCCTCAATACTCCCATCTCACTTTCTATCTGCAGGTATTTCCTGTATGCAAACTGAATAGTTCTGTAATATATTCACATGCTATTTTAACATTGCTTGATGAGCAGCGGTTCTTTTCATTCTATACACCATGTTTTTTAAAAACGAACCGGTCAGGGTCCGGTTACTGGTTCGAACGGTCCGACTGTTCGACTCAAACGGCTGGCCTATCGTGACAAAAAAAATAAAAAAATTTTAAAAAATTGGAAAACAGTCAAAACCATTCGAATGGTTCGAATGGTTAACAGGCCGGTTCAGCGGTTTGCTGACCAAAATCAATGGTTTTGAGGGAAAAAAGCAGTTTTGGAGGAAAACGGAACCAGTCAGGTGACCGGTTCCCGGTTTTTCCGGTCTGACCGTCCGGTCCGGTCCGGTTTTAAAAATAGTGCTATACACTCTTTTTCTTGGTATTCTATACTCTTCTTGTTAGGACCCGATAACATATGGAGGTTTGAAATTTTTTTGGTAATTACAGAGCAATTGCCGATTTTTTTTTATTAAGTTAGAATGCATTTCAACTTTTGTTTACTTTATCTGTTTATTTGTTCTTGGAGATGAGGAGGTCTGGGTTGATATTGGCATTACCATTTTTCTTGTTGAGTTTTAAATGCTGTTTTATCTTATTGAATTGATTAATTTAAGTTTCATTCTATAATAATGCAACACCTAGGAAATGGTTTACAGAATAATAAGTTTCATCACATCATATCAGTTTCTCTTTTATTTTTTTTTCTTTTTATTTTATTTGGCAATGTTGTGGTGTGATTGGTTGTGTTCTATGTTATCTAGATTAGGCTTCTATTTTAGATTTACTGGATAAATCTAGGAAGAATAGAGGTTGTTGCTGGGACAACTATTCTGACTTTTTATATGCAGAACAGAGGTTGCTGCACTTGCACCTGCACCTGTAAAACAAACACCAAACCCCAAGGGAAATGGGAGGAAAGAATGGCTTGTTATCTCACACCTCACATCACAATTCTCTCTTTGATTTTGGTGAAGCCTGAACCTCTGAAGGTTGTTTTGTTACAACAGTCTGACTCGAGCCAAACCCTCTTCCCACATTCAATTCATCTCCACACAATTTTTAGCTTAGCTAGCCGACCATCTTCACAAATACAACAACGGGTCCAGAATCACACTTCACATTTACATTTTCAATTTGTTTATTTTTATTTTTATTTTTGTAATGTATTGTTGTATTAGTTGGGGGGCGAGTGAAACAGTAAAAAAAGTTGCATCGTTTGCCAGGTTGGCTCCATTAATAGGGGGGTGAGGGGAAGAGTAAAATGATTCTTGGGAGAATGATACCCAATATAAATGATTCTTGCGTACTCCTTGCCTCGCTAGGACATCTTCCATACTGCTTGCTGATTGTTGAGTCCACTCAAAAACTGTCCTCAATTCTGTGGCCAAATATATCACCTCCCTTAAAGATGTGACTGTATGTCCAAGGGCCCATGCTATATTGTGTTGGAACGAACTATTGCAAAACCACCCTAACCCCCTTCCACACTATGTCTCTATATTAGAGATTTATTGTATGATACACCCTAATATGGTGTGGACATGGGTGATTGGTTCTCTGTGGATTCCTTACCCTACTGCCAGGTTATCAACAATTTCACATATGGAGTTTAAAAATAAAATTTCATATATGGAGTTTAAATATGTTTGTAAGAATTACCATATTGGCTATGTATAGTCAATGACTCAATGCCTTTTAAAAATATATTCTTCCTGTTGGTAGTATTGTGCTATTACTTGGTTATATGATTTCTAAGCCTCCATTTCTTTTTTGCTTTTGCTTGACAGTTCTTCAGACTGCCTGAAATAGCATTCCTATGCAATCTGATGTTGACTGGACAACAATTTTGTGAAGAAGATTGGTCAACACTCAAAAAGAAATACAGTAGCCTTTCTGAGGATGATTTGGTGCGATATTGCTTCTCTTCATTTTATATTGTGGCTCTACTGCATGATACTCTTGGAATTTCATTGGATGATGAAAGGTATTTCCTTTTATGCTTTCTGCCACTTCCTTCCAAGATCATTCTATGATTATATCATGATCATCATCAATGTTTTCAAAACGTCAGTGACCACAGGCAGTTGAGCTGTTCAGACTGGAAACCGATGATCATTCTGGAATTTCAATCTTTTATTTTACATGTCTGAAATTCTTGGGTTGATCATTTCTTTCTTTCTTTTTTAGGCTGATGTGGATATATTGAATTTATTACTGCAACCATGCATAGGCACAAGCTAGAAAGAGACAAACATCTATATAAAGCTTTCCAACATTTTGATAAAGATCAGAGAGGATACATTTGTGACAGGATGCCCGGGCTGCTAATTCTATGCCGTTTGGAAGCTCCATAGTTTCTATTCAAAAAGAATAGTCGTAGTTGGCGTGAAGAGGAGAGAGAAACTGGCTTACTTGATAGAAGAGACCGTTGTATTTGTATTGATGGTGGGAGTAGTTGGTTGTTTTTATGTTGTTATTTTTTACTAAGATGCCCATTGTATGCTCGGGCAGCTTGTTTTTTTATATGGGTGAATCTCTTAAATTACCCCTACTATTTAGCGTAATGACACGTAGTATCCCTATTGTTTAGCTATTGTTTTGCGGTATCTCTAAGTTTTCTGATAATTGTCATTGTCGTTAAGTGCTAATGGAATGAATCTAAATGTCAAATTTACCTTTTATTATTTATCAAATTTTCAAAATAAAATCCAAAAAACCCTTGGTTTCCAAGTTTTTTCAAAGCTTTACTTGATACCAACTGTCACCGGGGCTATTCAACGAGGCCCTAGTTTTCTGTTGGAAGTTGCAGCGGTCCCAGTAGCAAGAAGAGTTACCTTGGGTGTATGAATCTTAATGCTCTTATCTTTCAAGAAATAAGACAATAAGAGAAGTTAAGCAAGCTTCTGCTTCAATCTGTGTAGCTTTGATTTAAGGAAAATTCAAGATCATATCGTCGGAATCCATGGCGATGGTGTTGAGATCAGACTTTACCTCTTTTCTCTACTACTCGTTCTTGTTGGAGATCTAGTGGATGTGTTGGAGATAAGGAAGGAGAATTTGACACTTGTCTTCCTTTCTCCAAGCTATTAAGCGATGGTTTCATTTTGGGTTTCGACCTCCAAGTAGTAGCAAATATCTTAGACATCGATTGGAGGTATCTATTGTCCAACCACTTGGGTTCCTCCATTCTAAGAAATCCATTCTTGTTCACTTGCAAAAACCAAAGAAAGTCGCCACCTTCTCTGCCATCGCAAAAGTTGGTGATCTTTGTTCCTCTGCATCTGCAGGTGAAGGATATGGGGATGGGGAATAGGTAAGGGAGAAACCCATCGTGGTGGGTGCTCTTTGTTCTTTCTCCCCTTTGTCCCCTTCGCCGGTGGCTACCGTCGCTTGCGATGGTTGTGCCTGCGATGAGCCCTTCTAGTGTAGCTTTGGATTCTGGCTTTGCAGCTGGAACTACTGGCGTGGTCTTGTTGAGTTCATAAATCAACCTATACCTCTACTAGTCGACCATCAGGCGCCAGTTAGTGCATGCAGGCGACGGTAGCCACCGGCGAATGGCTCCCTCCCTCTCTTTCTCTCTTCCTCCACTTCGTTCTCTCTCTTTCTCCTCCATTCCCTCTCGCCCCTGTTTCATCACTGCCGCTGCAAATTGCAGCAGCGGCGGACCCCTCCACGCACTCTGATACAGACAGCCAAGTTTTCTTCTCTTTCTCCTTCTTCCTCTACTTCTCTTTCCTCCATCTTCGATGAACAGATAACTACCACCGGCATCATCATCTTCCAAGAATGTCCGTTGCAGAGAGAGGCGAGTTCTGGGTTGGCGAGAGGAAAGAGGGATGACTCTACAACCGGCAACCGTGTAATCGCCCATTGCCTGTGACAACAATACCAAAATCACCGCCACCACTGCAACTTACAGTACCGGCAAGGGAGGTTGTAGAGTGGTTCACTGTAGCTGCCGTCGGGGAGAGATGGTGAAGAAGAAGGGAGAGCGACAGTCGCCATTGCCTGGGACGACGATACCAAAATCATCGCCATCGCTGCAATTTACGGGTACCGGCAAGGGAGATTGTAGAGTGGTTCATAGCTAGTGTTGGGGAGAGATGGCGAAGAAGGGAGAGGGATGAAGGGCAAAATTGGGTTTTGAAGAAAATTTATACATCACGTGGTATGAATTTCGACTGAATTAACGGATATTAACAGCAGGGAGGAATTAGAAAATTGTCAGAAAACTTAAAAATACCGCAAAACAATAGCTAAACAGTCGGGGGCATCACATGTCGTTACGCTAAAAAGTGGGAATAGTTGGAACACCATTTGGTACAAGAAATAATTATATTTGCATTGATGGAAATGCCAAATATCTACAAAAATTGTATTTTTATTTGCGTCTTTCAAAACAAATGAGCTGAGTGCAAAGTGGGTGTGTAAATCTTGAACCATTTTGTACTCACATGATTCAAATATTTTAATTTTGCACTCTACAAATTTGCATTCGTATTCCAACCAAACACAGCCTAACGCTCAATTTGATAGGACTACAAATACAAATATATACTATGCAAATACATACAAAATAATATAAAATACAAGGTTTTGCACTCCAAATTGATATTTGTATTCCTTCCAAACTGAGCCTAAGCTTAAGTTTGCATTAATCATTTCACTTTCATCAATTAAAATGATGTCATCAATGAATAACATGCATCATAACCTAAATATGTTTAATGAATTTATCCATAATCAATGCAAATAAATAAGGGTTAAATGTTGAACATGGATAGAGGTCCTTAACAATTCTAAAATCTAATGCCTCCACCAGAAATGTACTAAAATTGGTTGTTGCACCATAAATTTTCTTAATTATGTCTATATACCTATTTTGAAACATTCTTTTCTAAGATCTATCATATGCATTCTCTAAATCAATCAACACCATAATCCATTGATAGTTACTGCAATTTAGTATATCACCTTTATTCCTAAATATAGTTCCAATTTTATTCATGCCAACCATCTCTTTTCTTTCATTATATTATTAAAAAGCTTAATTAGCCAGAATTAATTTACGACTATCATATATTTATATACTTTTATTCAAATCCCATCCGGTGCTAACACTTTTTCCTCCACCTTCTTTAATACCTCTTTTGCAATAGTTTTAATTTTATGAAGGTATATGTTGTTTTAAATATATATTTGTATTAATAATAAGTCCTCCATTATCATCCTCCACGTGTTCATTTAATAACTTTTTAAAATAGTTTTGCTATCTTTATTTGATTTCCACACATTTTAACAAAATATTTTATCTACCTCTTTTATACACCTAACAGTTTATTGGCAAAAAAACATAGTTTATTTGTGCAATATTAAATTTTTTTATCATATGATAGCAAAACAGCTTGATTTAAAAAAATATATTAAGGGCCCATTTGGTTCACATGAATAAGAGTCTAGAATCATAATCAAAATGGCCAATTCCAGGTTCTACCATTTGCGTGGGAGGAATCAGAACCCATTACAATTTTTAGTGAAATTACAACCTCCCATTGCCAATTGATTACGAATTCAGATTCTTGTCTAAACTTAACAAGCTATGAGAACAAGTCATTCTGATTCCAATTTCAACTGTAAACCATCAATCCATCATTACCATCATCACCAATGAGTAATGACCTAAATATATGGGATAGGCTACCTCACCAATCCGTTCTATTAAAATCATAGCCAACTTTAACTACAAACCAGACGGACCCTAATTTCACTAAACGTCTAAACGAATTGCAACCTGTTGCACAGTATCAAACCCGTTTGTTTCCATCGTATCACTGGGGATATAGCACGCACCATTCTCAGTGCCCAACCAAACCAAGTCCGCTCTACTGCCTACCAAAAAGATTGTTCCAGGTTGAAGCAATGAAAGTTTCTCTATTATGTATCGTAGAGCACCTTAACAAATAGAGAAAGGAATTCTCCTTTGACAATATCAACTAGCATTGCCCCTATAGAAGGCAAGAACAGAGAACCCAAATGAAAAAAAAAAAAAATTGAGAGATGCAGACTGCCATTGTCAAGGGCGAATCCTAGTCACTATTTGCTAAGTTGTTATCCTATGATCCTATCTATACATAATAAACTTTCATTGCTTAAATCTGTAACACTTTCTTGATGGACAGTAGAGTAGACTCGGGTGTGCACTGAGAAGTGTGCATGTTAGGCCCATTAGCGATACTACGGAGTTATATGGGTTTCATTCTATGTAACTAGGTTCTAGGTGACATTCCACTGCACCCTGGAATCCTTGATATTTTGGGGTGACGAGTGACCATCTAAACAATTTGGATTAGATGAAAGTTAAAAAGTTGGGATCCCTTTAAAAGGTATTTTTTAAAGGGATAATAACTGTTCAGCCCACCTCAGAGTTCTTAACCCCACCGTACAGGTGGGGTGAATCCTGATCGTGGATTGATACCAAATCCACGGGCAGGATGCAATTTATAAGGGGGGGCTGCAGTGTGTGCTCCGTTTTTTAAAACCGTAAGGTGCATCCTCGTAAGGGTGTCAATGGACCGGTCAATTTGAACAGATAAGGATGTCAATGGACCAATCAATTTGAATGGACCAACAAGACATTGGATTAGACCAATCTAATCCAAAATATTTATTAAATTGGACTGGACCTGGTGGATCAAGCCAATATCCAGTCCATTGATATAAGATAGGAATATAGGTGACAACGTATTGGGTTTGGGTTGAAACCAATCTAAATTAAAACAAACTTGAACAGATTAGACAGTCGGAACATTGAATAGGTGCAGTCTATAATGGTCCAAAATATTCACTGAATTGGATTGGACCTGGTCCATTTGTAATGGACTCGGATTGAACTGGATCAGATTGGACCAAATCCAGTCCAATTGACACCTGCACATCTCCATTGCTTCAACTTGTATCAGTTTCTATTATACATCGACCTCGGTTATTTTGTTAAGACCCATGCATAATTTACTGGCTTACTGCACATCACCCTCCGTTATTTGGTTGCTTGGCAAAGACGGCCAAATTTACTGAACATGATTGCTTGTAAGCACAATTCAACAAATAGTTCATCCATTTACCATAATAACATAAATGACTAGATGGGAAGAGCAGCATCACAAAAATCAGAAATGGATTTCATGTTTCAATTCTCGGAAGTACAAACATAAGGTAACAAAAGCCAAAAAGGAAATGGCGTAAGTGCCAAAACTTCTCTAATGCTAAAATATAAAATAAAACTTCTACATAGCAAAAGATAAATAGGTTAACTAATCCAAGTGTCTCATTTCTTCGCCTTCTTGTTTCCCCTACATAAGACAGACATTAATAAGAAGTCGGAACCTATCCTCGCTTTGACCTGTTATATATAATTAGAAAAAATATAAAGCCTAAGATTTGCTTACTCAGTTGCCTGAGGTGCAGGTGGGGCTCGCTCTGTAGGTCCCTGCATAAGTTGAGCGAACATGACAAATTCAGAAAGCAGATCCTGATGGTTTTTCTAGCAAAAAAGTACTTATTGAAGATCTTAATCTATGACACTTAGTGAGAATGTTTTTTCCTTATTCCAACAAATATAGTATAGTAGTTACAAAGTTGGAACAAGCGTAAATATAAATAATAGAAGAAATCTTACCCTCTTACCCAAGACAGCTATCTAAAATTTGCAAAGGCTTCTTACCTGAGCCAAACGCTCCTCCCTCCTGGCAATCTTTCTTTCCCTGCTTGCCTTGTTCTTAGCCCGCTTAGCCTCAAATTGGTCAGACAGAGTCTTCTCTCTTGCTTTCTCAGTCTTTGATTTGTGGATGCTCTCCATCAACACACGCTTGTTCTTGAAGACATTACCTTTCACCTTCATGTACATATCATGATACATGTGTTTGTCAATCTTCTTTGATTCCCTATACTTACGGAGCAACCGCCTTAGCACACGCATCCTCCTCATCCAGAGAATCTTTGTAGGAAGCCTTGCCTCCCTAGTACCCTTGCGTTTACCTTGAACATTTTAGAAAACCATTCACCCAAATTACAACTGGACTACAATGTATTGTAAAGAATGGGGTCAAGTAAATAGCTATCTGACTCAATTAATGAAATGTAGATAAAAAGTTAACTGACCACTTCAACAAAAGAAATTAAACACCCATCAGATATAGATTGAGACTTTTTTATACTTTTTTGTTGCCTAATATAATGGGTGACTTGTCTGAATAGTAATAAACCTTCAATAGAGATTAATATAAAGACCAAATTATGTTATACATTTCTCTAAAAAAAAAGGAAAATAAATAATTTTTTATGCAAGTATACTAATCTTTCAAGAGAAAATGACAAGTCTTGATCATCAATACCATATCCAGAGTGACGTCCCTTTCTCTTGGCCTCCTTCATTCGGCGGGCACGAGATCGAGAGTGGATCTTGGTTGGCTTCCTGATGATAAAACCATCCTTCACTAGCTTTCTAATATTTTGCCCTGCAGATAACAATCACAGAAAATCAGGCTGAGAATTTCCAGTAGAAAACAAAAGAATCTATCAAGGGATTAATTTAACAAGAAAAAATGGAGTAAACTAAGAAATTGCAGAGACTGTATGCCATTGGAGATGTCATCTTATTTCTGTATGTGTTAGACCTCGCACAGGATTACATACATTTTTTATCGGCCACAGAGGATTAAAGACACTTATACATAAACTTTGCCACAACTATTATAAAAATATATTTGATCCTAGCAAATTGCATACAATGAAGTGAATAAAAAAAATAAGTAGCTTCAATAGGTAAGAGAAAGTAAACTAAGACGATTTGATCATATGCATAGAAGACCATCTACAGACCACATAAGAAGAACCAATCTATTGCATGTTGAAGGGACTAGAAGGGTTGTGGGCAGATTAAAAAAAAAGGCCTGGTTGAGGTAGTAAGTAGTAAGAAATGATTTAAGCACTCATAATTTAACAATAGATATGGCACTAAACAGAACAGAATGGCAAAACAGGATTCCCGCAGCTAACCTCATATAGTTGGGACAAGGCTTAGATGATGATGATCTCAGCATACCATATACCTACAAATATTTGATTATTGGCTTCTTTTTTCTATTTATTTTCTTTTTATTTTATTTTATTTAGGCAAGGGGGCTACAACTAATATTTCTCAAGGCACACACAAGTCTGACTGAATTTTAACCTTCATCCAAGTTTTCATGATTATTTTCCTTGTTTTTAAATTGATCATTTTTAAGTTGCCAGTGATGTCTCTAAATTGCCCATTGGTAGAAAACAGAAAATGTTCATTTTTTTTTATCAATAACAGAAAATGTTCATTCACTACAATCGGCCATATCTTTCTTACTTCATGCCAATAAATTACTTGAAATCTAGAGATTCTCCAGTTAACAATTTCTTCAAAAATTCACAATATAATGCTCCAAATTATGATTAAGAAAAATCACTGACATTAACAATAACTGTTGGTGAACCTGAAGGACAACAATAGTTAATACAACAAACTTCACACAACGATTAGAAAGATCCTATAGAGGACACTGAACAAATAAATTGAATACATAGATGTCAAGGTGATAACTACGAACCTTGATGTCCACCTACGCAATTACATATCAAAAGAAAAGGCACCACCTACCCAACAAGGAGCCCATGGAGGGTTGCCGTGCTTGATTGCCAAGGCATTTTGTACATAGTAATCTTATGTACTTTTATATTTTTAATTTTTTAAATAGAGACTATGAAACTAAATTGTCCAGTTTGTGGGTTAAAATACTAGTTTCGTTTTATTATTTTCTTAGTTGTAATGTTCAATCAACATGCTATCTTGAACTTTGAAGACTTCAAGACCTAGACTCATAAACAAGAACTCATAATTTTGTCCAATCAACACATATTGATTACTTTCTATCATCCTTTCTTTTCTTATTTTCTTAGGACAACAAATTAGGACTCAACCCCTCAATTTTTTTTAAATTCCTTTTCATTTTTCCATTTTTCATGAATATGTTGATTTTCTATGCTGTTCTTTAAATGAAGCTTTTACATTTTTATGAAGATTATGGACAATAACAAGTGAAAGATGATTGCTGCTTACTATGGAACCTAGGGAGTCACTGGTTTTTATTCCAAAATAAATACACGGTCTAAGCAGCAAGGCACCCCCTGTCGCCTAGCTTGGCCTTGCTTCCTTGAAAACTACGATTAAATGTAAGAGCTAGTCTCCCATTTAAATGGAACACCATGGGCATCGTAATCAAAGAAAAGGGCCAATACCCCAACAAAAAGCGGAGAATGCTCGAGATAAAAAACAAAAATTATAATCTATCTGGTTTTTAACAGGTGATAATAGCAGCCTAAGCCTGAAATCTTGACAGCTTATCCATTAAAACGTTTACCTATAAAACTTGAGGCTTTGAGCTACAGTTCTCGGTTGAAACGAAAAGCAAAATAATAACGAGGAAGATCAAAACCAGGTGCCATTGATAACCTTTTTCGTGAGTAGGGAGTTATGGTTAGCTCATGTAACAACATCATATGATGTTTAACTATATAAAAACTGTTGATAAGATGTAACACAAAACCCCAACCATACTTTTGTCAACAAAACAACGCATCTAAAACAGTTTTATTTGCCCTTACCTAACAGAAACACTGATTCATACTGTAGCACTTGTAAAAAAAGGACAGACAAAAGGGTAAGAAACTCTGTAAGACAGCATGGGATCTCGATACAATTGGAACAAAAAAATAATGAACTACATGAATAAAAGGAAAACAGGAGGGCCGATTTAGACCATTGAAGCAATATCATAATAAACGATTAAAACCATCCCAAGAGAAATATAGGTCTCAATCAAGTTCATCCTTTCCATACGGTTTAGATAAACAAAAATGAAGAAAACAAAAGGGAATCAAAGAGCAATACAGAAGGAGGGAGGATCGTACTGGAGTTGGCCATGGAGATTTCATTGACCTCATTAGGGTCAAGCCAGACCTTCCCTCTCCCGCATTTGAGAACGCTAGCAGAGAGCCGCTTCTGCAGTTTCAATGACACCATCGTGTGTGTGCCTGACGCTCAACCTGCTGCCGGGAAACAAAAGAAAATAACACCAGTGGTAGATATCCTTTTATAGTGTAAGGCTTATCTAGGGTTAAGGGACGAATGCGAGAGGGCAAAAGAGAGATGTTTGAAACACGGATCGGTGCAGACCGTAGCGTTGAACACCGTGAATCTACAACGACGCAGGGCTCTCAATCATACCGTGCGAAAATACAACCTGACCAATCCGTATGGATAGCATTCGCCGTGAGGAAAACGGGCATTAGAAATGTTAATCTGCTTGTTAGACTGCTTCAACGTCGATCCAGCCCACAATTTTACACTGGATTTTTTGTTTTCCAGGCCCAAATCTTCAAACTTTTTTTTTTATATTTTATTGGATTGGCCCCAACCTAATCCTTACCTGAGACTGGCCCGACTAAATTCATTTACATTTTTTAAACCAGGATAAAAAAAGGAGCTACACACAACGGGGGTAGCCCATCCCCAAATGTCAGGACAAGAAAGACACTTTGAATAGAAAGGTAAATAAGAAACATAATTAAAATTTGAATGAGCATAATTAGCAAGCCAATCAGCAATTCGGTTCCCTTCTCGAAATGTGTGTTTATACTCCTTTTCAGTCTCCATAGAGGGTTCACCTAGTTCTTTAGACAGTTAATAACAAGCTTTGAATCACCTTTGAATCACCTTCAATGATAATGGATTATCCATTGAAATTGAGAGAGATTGTGAGTTTCCCAAGTCGCCCATGCTTAAGCAAGATTGATAGTCGAGGTTCCTATATCATAGGCTTTGAAATCCAAAATCTGGCCAAAGTGGTTTCTGGCCACACAAGCAAAAGTGCATCTATTGTTTATGCAAGAAGCATTAGAGTTTATTTTGATTACATCCACTTTTGGCTTAACCCAATTGATAGGGATGACCATCTTTTTTGGAACCATCATTGAATCACTATCATAAATTGCATTGGCTTCCAAAAAGGAGTTTTTAGCTCTATCAATAATGACTGGAAGAGGAATTGCCTTGTTATTGAAAGTTTTGTTATTTTGATTTTTCCAAATTTGCCACAACAAGATAGTTATTCTTTCTTTTGCAAAAGGAATCTTCAGATGACGAGAAATGTCATCCAAAGATGCCCACCATTCAAGAAACGAATTCCAATTCCCCTAAGGAGCCAGAATAGTATTGTCAACACCCGATTTTTTCTCAATTCGTTGCCTGAACCTCCAATTTACCTCAAACACCCAATCAGACACTCCTGATATCTCCGAAACACCCAAAAATCCCGAATGTCACCCCAAGAGCCCTTAGATCCACCGTTAAACCTACCCGATACCGATCCAATGACCCTGATCAAGCCCCATTTACGCCTCAACCACTACATCTTGATACATCCGAACCGGTCAAACAACATCATAAACTTCAGACACATCAAAGCACCTGCTCGTAAAGTTTCAACCCTAGATCCCCCGTTTACTTATCCATCAAACAAAGATTTCGTTCCAGCATCCCGTTAACCCAAATTCCTATGACCTTGACCCCCCAAATACAGATCAAACCACATCATCAGATCCTACATACCATCAAATACCCACCTGTAAAATCTTAACCCAAAATACCTTTGTTTACCCTTCGATCGCATAAAGATTCCATTTCAAGGTTCTAGATTGACCATATTACAAATCTGCCTGATCCAGGCCCAGTTGGCTCAATCTGATTTTACCAATCATCTCAAACTACCCAAAAACCCTACTTTGAGAAATTTCACCCAAAACCGCCTTTATTTTCCCTTCATCACATAAAGATTCCATTTTGAGCCCTTAGATTAACCAAATTGAACCCTTTCCAGATCTTCCCAATCTGGGCCCGGTCGGACCAATCCAACCCTACCAATCAACTTAGAATGTTCGAAAACCCCACCTTACAAAATTTCAACCAAAAATACCCTCATTAACCCTTTCATCCAAAAAGATTCTATTTCAGTTAATCCTGTTAGCCCCTCCACACAAACCCACTCTTTGTGGTCAAATCCATCTCAACCCTCCACATTTTTTACCCAAAACCACCCACCATTGAACCAAGAACCCGGTTCAACCTTTGGACCCAATTTAACTCAACTTGTCAAAAATTACCAAAATACCCTCTAATTTCCTAAAAATTACAAAACACCCCTGGCGCCATTTAAAAGACACCGACCCCTTCATTTTCTCCCTAAGAAGAAAGAGGATGGTCTGGAAGGGGGGCACTATTCATCTCCTTTCCCACTCGAACCATTAGTAGAGCAGCGTCTATAACTCTCTCCACCTTCGGCTAGATTGTTCCCCCGACCAATCTCTCCTTCTTCCTCCCTCTTTTTTTCTTCTTTGATCTTCTTCTCGATTCACCCCTCTTTCTTCCAGATTGCCGCTGTAACTCAAAGCAACAACGACCTGCTTTATTCCTCATTCCCTCCTTTTGTTTTACATTTATTCTCTCCATTCTCGTTAAAAAGTTCTGAATACGTTATCTTCGCCCTAATCGGAAAATCGTTGTGGAGAACGTTGTTCATTGTCTTCTCCATTAGATGCGACATAGAGGCGGTGAGCCTCCCTTTGCTGAGCTCCTCTCTATCTCTCCCCTTCGTTCATTATCTTTCTTCTCTCTCCATTATTTTCCATCTCCGCCATTCTCTTCTTACGTTAAGCTTCCTTGACCCCTCGACTGTTGGCTTGTAATCCCGATTCTGTTGCTATTTTGTTTAACAATTTGAATAAGTCATGGTCAAGTTAGTTGAGTCTTTCTAGCTATTTTAATGGGATATTTTCATGTACTCCTAGTCTTTAGGTTCTGTTAGTAATGGCAGAAGAATAGGAGTTTAGGTGGGTTTAGCCTATTATAAATAGGCCATTAGTTCACAGTCATTTCTTGAAGTCGGTCTTATGGAAGAAAGAGTCAATGCGCCTATTCCAAGCTCTTGATGTTTGTTTTAGGCCATACAAAGCTTTCTTCAATCTATACACCTTATCTTCACCTCCCTGCTTCATGAATCCTGGTGGTTGTTTGATAAAAACCTCTTCTTCAAGTGGGCTATTTAGAAAAGCCAACTTCACATCCATTTGATGGATTTTCCACTAATTCTATGCAGCCAAAGCAATTATAAGTCTAATAGTCTCAATTCGAGCAACAGGAGAAAAAACTTCTTAATAATCATAGCCAGGTCTCTGCTCAAACCCCTTAGCTACCAATCTTGCTTTATGTCTTTCCACCTTGCCATTTGACTTCATCTTTGTCTTGAAAACCCACTTCACATCAATAGCTTTGTAACCTCGTGGGATATCAATAAGTCCCCACATATTGTTTCTTTCAATTGCTTTGATCTCCTCATTCATAGCATTCACCCATTTAGGATTTTGGATTGCCTCCTCGAATGTCACATGTTCACTATTTGCAAAGAAAGCAAAATGCACCAATTCTCCTTCATCATTAGGTGTTACCTCAAAATCTTGCAACGGTACAGATTGTTGGTGTTGCATCTGTCTTCTTGATTCTACTGGAGCTTGTGGAATAGAACTTTCTTAAGCAAAGCTTGATGAGGCTTCATTTGTGGCAAGAACTACAATGTCCTCTTCAAGGATACTGAGCATTTGCTTCTAGGAGTCTTTATGCGTATCAACATCCCATTTCCAAGCCTCTTCTTCAGTAAAGGTCACATCTCGGCTAACAATCACCTTCTTTGTCACGAGATTGAATAGCTTGTACGCCCCACACTTGTATCCCACAAAGATAGCCTTCTCTGCTCGATCATCTAGCTTTGTCCTTGTCTCCACTAGAACATGGGCATAGGCTATGCAGCCGAACACCTTGAGATGTTTCACACTTGGCTTGAAACCACTCCACGCTTCTGCAGGTGTGATATTCTAGACACTCTTTGTTGGAGACCTGTTTATAAGATAAACAGAACAAGAGACAACTTCACCCCATAATGAATTGGGCATTCCTTTGGCCTTTAGCATGCTCCTCGTCATGTCCATGATAGTCTTGTTCTTCCGTTCGACAACTCCATTATGTTGGGGAGTGTAGGGAAACATAACTTCATGTTTTATTCCCTGTTCTTCACAATACTCATTGAATTCATTAGAGATATATTCACCCCCACCGTCAGTTCGTAAAGCTTTAATAGAGTAGCCACTTTCTATCTCAACATGTGCCTTGAACTTCTCAAAATAGTAAAAAACTTCAGACTTATTTTGCAGAAAGTATACCCAAATTTTTCTAGTATAATAATCACCAATGAAGGTTAGGAAGTACTTATTTTTACCATTGGACATGATATTCATTGGGCTGCACACATTGGAATGAATGAGCTCCAGTGGTTGTGTTGCACGCCACTGTTCTGTTGCAAACGGCAATCTGTGATGCTTTCCAAGAGTGCAAGCTTCACACAATTGTTCCGGATGATGAATACTAGGCACACCTTTCACCATATTTCCTTTAGCAAGCATTTTTAAACTTCGAAAGTTCAAATGCCCAAAGCGAAGGTGCCACAACCAAGACTCGTCATTTATAATAGCATTGAGACAATTATAAACACCATTGGAAATATCAACTTGAAACATACAATTATTTGTCAAAAGGGCCTTGAGAATGAGTGTACCTTTTTTTATCAAGAATGGAGAGTTGATTGCCATGGAGGTTCATAACATACCCCTTTTCTGCCAGTTGACCCACACTAAGCAAATTACTCTTCATGCCTGGCACATAGAAGACATCAGAAATATACTTATGATCTCCATTCTTCAAGTTGATAAGGATATGTCCTTTTCCCATCATTGATATAGTACTATCATCGGCAAATTTGATTTTGGTGCGAAATGACTCATCAAGATCAGCAAATAGCTCCTTTTTGTCACACATATGATTAGTACACCTAGTGTCGAGGAACCATGTGTGGTAGTTTGGTGTTTCACTAGTTGCAGTGACCATCAAGAGAGTATGGTCGCCATCATCATCATCATCATCATCTTCTTGTACATAGTGAGCCCTCTGAGTATTATCCTTATATCTGCACAAACTTGAATAATGGCCATGTCTATGACAAGAATAACACTCAACATTGGATTTATCATACCTTCCTCTACCACGTCCACGTCCTCGACCTCTTGTGTTTTGTTGGTGGGTTGAGTCTGATTTCTCTTGGTCATTATTCTGACTACCTCTTGTTTCATAATTGTTGTTATAGCCACCACGACTTCTATTGTTGTAGTAGTGACCACCACATCCTCGTCCTCTTCCACGAGAGCTACTATGCTTTCGGCTTGTTTCACCACTTTGTTCACCTTTAATGGAGACTTGGGCTTGGAGGGCTTGCTCAATTGGCTTCTCATTTTGCTTCTCATTCATGCGTTGCTCATGAGCTTGCAAGGTGTCGGATAATTCTTTGGTAGTCATCGAAGACAGATCATGTGCTTCTTCTAACGCCACCACGATATGCTCAAATCTGGAAGTGAGCGACCATAAAATCTTCTCCACTTTGGCTTGCTCTTTGTACTCCTCTCCATATGTTTTCATTTGATTTGTCAAAGCAAGAACTCGACTAATATAAGTAGCAATAGTCTCAGAAGACTCCATTTGTAGGAGCTCATATTGATGTCTCAAAGTTTGGAGTCTCACCTTCTTAACTCTGTCTGCACCTTTGTATGACGTCATCAAGGTATCCCAGGCTTGTTATGACATGGTTGCTCCTACAATCTTTTCAAAGACTTCATCATTCACCCCTTGATGAATGAAATATAGTGCCTTCTTATCCTTCTTCTTGTTTTCACGGTGGGTATTTTTCTGTGCATCGGTTGCATTTTTTGCAAGATCATCAGCCTCATTCTCCACAACATCTAGCAACTCGTGGTAATTGAAAAACACCCTCATTTAGACACTCCATCAATTGTAATTTTTCCCATCCAAGACAGGAACTGAGATTTGAACCGAGCTGTTCATTGCACCTGCTTTGATACCACTTGTTGGGCCTTGAGGGGGGTCACGAACCATGAGGAGTTGCCAAAACCGGGGGCTTCGTACACATACACGCATGTAAGACTTTACACAAGAGATGGGCACCACTTACAACCCAAAAGCCTAAGCAATTGGGTTATGGGCCACTCTTGTATATAAGTCCCTTGCACTTCTTGTGTCTTTCCAATGTGGGACTTTCTTTCATTCCCCATTCCATACACCTACCTACTCACATGTGCATCCCAACATCGACGACGACTACCGAAATTCAGTAGTCCAAACCTTTTGATAGAGGCAACAACTCAATTGTGCCATCTTTGGGATTAGGAGTAGAGATTCAGTGCCTTATGAACCTTCTTTTTCTACTTTATCAGTTCCCCGATCAGCAATCATTCGATTTCAGGCCGAACACATCTCAGGTAAGTCTGTGATTTCTCTTTCTTATTTTCTTAGACACTTCATTTTTAGCCCCTAATGTATTGAGATCTGTGAGAGATAAAAAGGGTGACGTAGCTAGTTCCAATTTCCCTTAGCTAGTTTTCTAAGTTCTGTCTCGATGCTTTTTTTTCAGAATTAATAAAAAGGGCATTAATTCTGTTAGAATTAATGATGCGTTTTTTGTTAGAATTAGTGACGTAGCTAGAGATAAAAAGGATGCGTTTTTGTTAGAATTAATAAAGGGCATTCTAATTCCTTTAAGCATAGATTTGAGCATCCTTTCTTTTCTCTGATGATTAGTCTCTCTGGTAATGATCATGGAAGCTCTGTTTTCTCTTGCTTAAAAAAATAATAATAAAGAAAAACTTTAAATCTGTGTATACCGATCTGTTCTGATCCTTGGTTTTGTGCTCCCTCTAATATGCTTCATTTCGATATTGTCAGATTAATGTGGTTGTGGTTGTGGCAAATTAAATAAAAAGGGTGAAGTGTTGATCACATTGAATAGAACAAACATGGGACAGAAATACAATCATATGGATAGGTAGATAAGCAGATTAAATGCAAAGAAAAATGTGATAAAGAAAATCAAATCGAATTAATGGGTTCGGGTAGCCTTATTTGATTGGTGGGATTTATATCTAGAACAAGGAGCTGGAGAGGGGAATGAGCTATTAAAAAAAAAAGAGGAAGGAAATGAATAAAACATAAATAAATAAATAAATAATATGTACATAAGTAAAAGAGGAAAAACAAAAAAAGGGAAATATAAATGAATCAAAAGAAATGAATCTTTTTATTATTAAGAAAATTAAAAATTTGTAAAAAATTATAATAATAAAGTTGCATAATAAAATAACAAACAAAATATAAAAGAAATAAAATTGATAAAGGGGAGAGAAAATAAAAAATATATAATTAAATAAAATAAATGAAATGGAAATAAAAAAAGCAAAATCATAAAAAAATAGATAGAGAAGATTGTCTTCTACGTTGATTTATTCTTGAAATTGGTTCTCTTTCTTTTCATGTTGCTTGATTGATTATGAATGTGGTTATGTTTGTCTAGTATCTCATGTGGTCCCCACTTATCGAACCTGGGAGAGGGGTGCCTAATCCCTTCCCTCTCCAATCCAAGTCTTACCCAGACTAGTTAGCCGACGCCTCGGGCTATTGGAGTACTAATGAACCAAAATGCTTTCTAATATAAATCCCGGAGGTCCCATCACCTCCCTTTCATTTGCTTGATGGGTGGCGACTCCATTTCCAACCCAAGTAGCAAGTGAGTCGTTTTTTATGCTCACAAGTATCCTTTGTTATGATCCAAAATTTGTTTAGTGAAATGGCATTTTAAAAACATATGAGCAAATTCCTCCTCTTCACCAAAAAAATTGTAGCAGTCATCAATATCATCACCTATTCTCCTAAGAGCTATTTTGGAAGGGAGTTTGTTATTAAGCAAGATATATAAGAAATCTTGATTTTGGGGGCCACTTTCAGATTCAAGATTTTGTTGATTTCCTTTGTCACCCTAGTAGGGATACCATGCATCCAACAAGCCTCATTATATGGCAATTTGACAAAAAAGTCACCTTTTGTGTTAGGTCTCCAAATTTTACTATCCTCCTGTTCACCCAATGGAATAAAAATATTTCTAATTTTTTCCCATGCACTTGAAGGCACAAGGTTCTTAATCAAGTCTTCCTTCCAAGTTTTAGTCTCGTGATTGATGCCATCACTAACTCAAAGGTTAATGTTATTAATATCTCATTCGTTAACTAAATTGATAAGGGGAACCTTATCACACCACTTATCCAACCAAAATTTTGTCTCATTACCCTTGCCAATAATCATTCTTAACCCTCTCTTAAGTAAATTACAGGTCTCAAGGATGCCTTTCCAAGCCCATGAATGATTCTTATTTGGTTTAGTCTCCCAAAAGTATTTTCTTCGGAGATATTTGCTACTTACAACTTGAACCCTTAATTTATCTTTTTCATTCAGAATTTTCCACCTTAATTTGGTAAGGCAAGCTTCATTCATCCAGCCTAAATTCTTCAAGCCTATCCCACCCTACCATTTAGAAGTGCAGACTTTATTCCAGTTGATGAGATTGAGGGGTTTCCTATCTTTACTGTTAGCCCATAAAAAATCTCTTTACTTCTTATCAAGGTCTTGAATGACTCCCGTTAGGACCTTAAATGATCTTATAATATACTGCATAATCATGTTACATGAAACCTTAATGAGAGTGATTCTACCAGCAAGGGAGGGACACTTCCTTTTCCATCCTGTCAGTTTACTCTCAATCTTTTCACTCAAAAGTTTGAAGGAGTCCTTATTATATTTGTTGCTAAATACAGGAGCACCTAAGTAGTTTCTGTTCTTTGCCTGTAAAGGGATTTTGAGAATTTTTGCCATGATTTTCCTACATCTTGGGTGGATGTTCTTTGAAAAAAGTAAGGTTGACTTGGAAAAGTTAGAGGCCTGCCCTGAGTAGTGGTGTAAATGGATTGAGTTCAAATCGAATCGGGCAATATCTGAATTCAAATCCGATTAGAAAATCTGATATCCAAATTCGTTTCAATATCCGACGGATATTGAAAAATAATATTTGAATTCGAATCTGATTAAATAGTTGAATATTTGATTCGATTCGAATTTGGTTAATTAATTATTTTAAATAATTAATAAATATATAAATTATTTATATAACTTTATTATTATATATAAATTATTTTATATATTATATATAATAATTAAATAATCGGTCGAATTCGAATATTTATCGAATCGAATAAAGTCATATCCGAATTTGACCGATTAGATGTTCGAATTATCCGAATTTAATTTGATTACGTCGAACATCGAATTCAAAATTGGATTTTCGAATACCATTGACACCCCTAGCCTGAGGCTTTGGCAAATTGGACAAGATGTTCTTGACTATACAACAAGCCTGTATGCCAGCCTTTGCAAAAATGGTGCAATCATCAGCAAATTGAAAAATAGGAATAGATAACACTGGACACCCTATAGTCAATAGGACTCTTGGGGCCAGAAGCTTCCCTCAAGAGGTTAAGCGTGAACGCCTCCGCATAGAGAACAAAGACATATGGGGAGAGGGGGTCCCCTTGTCTGATCCCTCTAGAAGGGGTAATATCTCGAGTAGGGACACCATTTACCAAAATCTAGTACTTACCATCCTAATACACTCCCTAACCCAGTTCACCCACGTATTGTGAAACCCAAATCGTCTAAGCACTTTATCAATAAAGTCCCAGTCAAGTTTATCATAAGCTTTCTCCATATCAATCTTATAGGCCATAAACCTCTTCTTACCCTTTTTCTTCTTCAGAGTATACATGATTTCATGGGCTATGAGAACATTATATGTGGTTTGCCTAGTAGGAATGAAAGCACTTTGAAAAGGGGAGACAATGTCATTAAGGAAAGGTTTGATTCTATTCACCAAAATTTTTTAGATAATTTTATAAATTACATTGCGTAGGCTTATGGGCCTACAATTATTAGCCATTTCCGGGTTGGCAGTTTTAGGAATAAGTGTGATAACCGTTTGGTTGATAATTTCATTCATATTTCTAGAGTGGAAGAATGCTTGTACCACACTATAGATGGAATTTCCTATTATATTCCAATATTTTTTAAAAAATAGTGCATTAAGTCCATCCGGGCCTGGAGTCTTGAGGTCTTTCATAGCAAAAATTGTGTCTTAGATTTATTCATTTGTTACTTCTCTAATAATGGATAATTTCTTCTCATTGGTTATGAAGGAATTTATTACCTCTATAAATTCATTAACATCAATTGGACCATCAGTTTTGAATCTCTGCTCAAAATTATCACTTAGATATTCAGCTATATCATTTTGGTCACATACCCAGTCACCCTTGTTATTTCTGATTCTATAAATTTTATTCCTGTTCTTTCTTATTGTGGTCGTAGTATGGAAAAAATTGTTATTACTGTCTCCAAGTTTAATCCAATTAATCCTGGCTTTGTGGGCCCAATATGTCTCCTCTTTAATAAGTATAGAATTGAGGTGTCTTGGGAGAGCTGACTCCAAATTTAAAAGGGAGATGTTTTGATCATCATTTACAATTCTTGCCTGAACATTCCCTAATTGATTCTTAGTTTTATCTTTCAATTGGAAAATATTACCAAATTTTTTCTTGTTCCAATCTCTTAAATTTTTAACAAGTAAATTTCTTTTCTTGATGAATTGGGAAGCTCTTGATCCC